ACATGAACATATGCAGCAACTTCACCAAAGTACTTCCTCTTGATTAGGAGTTCTTTTAGGTCCCGCAACTTTGCCCTATATACTCTTGCAACCAGTTCTGGCCTATCTTGTGGATCCTGCCCCGGTTCGAGATTGCTTGTTATCTCTTCCTAGTACGGATTGCATGTCATGGTGATGAAGTAATCAGGCTTGCCAAAACGCTGCACAATAGCCATTGCATTAAGGAATCTTTGCTGCATGTCTCGATCGCATCTAGGGAATGATCTTGGCAGCACAATTCTCTTGCCAACCTTAGAACCGTGCGTCTCTCCCGCAGATATAACATCAACCAGTCCCTATAATACATTTAAGCACTTAATTTTAGCTTTATGTAGTAACAAGCATGCAAAGATCGTAAAAAACAATTACAAACAATAGATTATGAGTGTTTACCTGGTATAGCTCGGCCCATATTAGTTTTTGGTTATCAGGATTAGAGTACCAATCTAGCCTCATAGACTCAATCTTTATATACATATCCACAGCCCACTGTTGGAAAAGACGTCCTCCGAATAATAAAATATTAAAAATTCCCCTTCTGACTTGCAACTTGAAGCAGTAGTATTCTCGTGCAGTTACATATTTTGCAGATTGTGCTGCATCAGCAACTGCACCTAGGACGTCACCTTCTTGTACTTCATTGTCGCCATCTTCCACTGGATTCTCATTATTATTATCAGCTGGGAAATAGATAAAATATTAGAACATTTTATAATATGGTACTATAGCATCAAATCATTAGTATAGCGGTAAGTATTATAGGAAAAAAATATTATTACTAAGAGATATAATACCATGATTACCACCAGACGTCCCTTCATCTCTACTCTCTGGCCATTGATTATTAGTAGAAGTCGCGCTTGCAGATGGTGGAGTGAATGGACTCCCACTGTACGGCATATATTTGTTCCATCCTGTCTCCCCTCGTGGGTTATATACAGGATAAGCTAAGGCGTCATAACAACCATGCCATGCCCAGATATACTGCGGACGACGATCAGTCTTTCCATATACAACCACACTTCTATCAAAACATCTTTGTGGATCGTTCCCATCCATCCAAATAGCAGCAACTTGGGATGCAGTTGGGGCATTGTACCTTCTTTGGTTAGGCGTGATATTTGTATTGAGTTCAATCCGGTACTCATCCAAGTTTGGAAAATCCCCATTTCTCCTAAAAGTCTGAACATATGGGTTATCTTGCAAGATTGCTACGATAGTCCGAATGATGTTGATATCAAGATCAGGGGACCTTTTGACTCTATGTGATAAGGCCTCATCTTCTGTATCATAAAAGTAGAGCTGCAAATGCCGAGCACCGCGGCCACCTGGCACCAGGTGGTCAAGACGGTGGTACAACCCACCATGAACTCGAAATGTATAAACACCGGTCCCTACTGGACTTTTATATCTGTCATCAGTGGTAACCCCTAGACTTGCAAAGGAGAAATATGAGTTGATATAACGTATATGTTTCCTGAAATATTTTGTATCATCATGCACTTGACTTGTGAACAACCTTTTGAGCTCTGCAGGAACATCTGGTATATGTATCTGTACTTTTCCTTTTCTACAACAAAACCCGGGTGTCTCACCCTGAAACCTCATCGCACCACAATAACTGCAGTCAGGGACCTTTCTCAATTTATGTGGTTCTGGCAGGTTCTGGTAGATGTAATCATATGGATCATCATGTGTCACACTGTTTGTAGCTGGACCCTCTGGAAGCACGCGATATGACTCATAGTCATGACCTGTGTACACATTGCAGTAATTATTTTCATTTAATATATATAAACGCGCCAAAGTGAAGCTAGACTTGTAACCAGGCATATATATTGTTGTCACAGTACCTTGCGCATGTTGGTGAATGACTCCATCATCGTATAGGTTTTCATTCTGCAATCCATGGCCGGCGTCTATGGCATCTTCATCACCGTCCCAACCATCATGCATTGGTTCAAATAGTTCACGGTCAAATTCTTCTTCATTGTGTAGTTCAGGTAAATGAAGTTCTGCAAATATTTTAAAAATAAGTATGCTAACATATATTAAAATTATATTTTATTGAAAAAAGTATGACGTTGTTGTGCTCGCTTGACTCACCGGAAGTAGGCAATGGGCTAGGAGGGACCGTACATGTGCCTCTAGCTCGTAGAACTTAATTATCATTTCGGTGTAGCCACTCTGTGGGATATGCTAATGATGTATCAGTTGGTTGAGAAAATGCACAATTTGAACAGTTATTATATCTCATCAGCTGGTGAAGACGCCGGCAATGTTTGGGACACAACAGAGGTGGGGCTATTATTTTGCATTGCAGCTTTCCTCCGTGCTCGGTATTCACGTTGTTTCCTATTAGCTTCCTCCCTTTGTTGATCGGTCATTTCAGCTCTTCGTTTGCGTGCACGTGCATTCCTTGCTTCCCTCCTAGCATCGGCACTGTCCGTAGGTCTCGTCTCTGGAGACAAAGGCACATGTTAAAGTCAATATATAGAGATGTGGTGTGTAGACATAAAAAGTGTGTTTCCTTTACAAAATAACCATCACTTATACCTAGGTCATTGTCGCTTATGTCCACAGACAGCGTACTGACTCTTGTGTTTGCCGTGCCTACGCCAACATCTCTACTATTTGTTTGCATATCTCCGTTGGAAAATATATTTGGCGTGTTTTCATTCTGTGGGTCGGCAGTTTCGTCAAGTCCTATGATTGGGTGGCACAAAATGGTTGACCTCTACTTAATCAAAACGGGTTATGGTGTGATAATAAGTGTCCAAAAATAGAAAGAGATTAAATACCTATGGACGATGCTGAAGTTAACGGCACCGTCTCACGCAAAGCAGCGGAAGTGCTACTATTCTGGGTTGCATGTTTCTTCCGTTCTCGGTACTCACGTTGTTTCCGATTGATCTCGTCCCTTTGTTCCATGGACATATCAGCTCGACGTTTCCGTTGCTGCATATTCCTTTGCTCCCTCCTCCGCGATTCCTCATCTAAAAATATGAAAACGTCCTTCCAGTAAATAGTGAAAAATATGAAAAGGTTTGCATAGGTACATATTTTAAGCATACCTATGACATTGGTGATATCACCTAGTGGTTCGCGTGTATATGTCGGCGTAATCATTTGGCTTTGCGCTCCGCGCGTATCTCTCGGCGTAGACATTTTGCTCTGACCGTCGCGTGGATCTCCCGGCGTAGACATCGCCTCTTCCCTATGTACACAATTATTATTATCTCCGCTTAAATTAACATTAACATGGACACAGAATTACCTTGAACTCTTATGCATGGTAGCTACGATGGTGTACCCAGGCGTGTAGTACAGGTGATCTCCAGGTCGTTTTAGCAGCGAAACCAATCACCACCGAGCATCCAGAACCTGGAGACAAGCAGGATTAGGTGTCGGGCGTGCTCGCGCGGAAGGGAATTTTTGTTTCCTTTTTTTCGTCGATACGGACGGCGTTTGTTTCCTTTTATACGGACGGGAGCGTTGAAGCCTCCGTGATGAGTCTGAAGTTTAAGGATGTCGGTGTCGATGTTGCACGTTGATGTTGTCCCTACGGCTTCGGGGTTGCGACCGGCCGGCCAGCAGTAGCTCGTGCTCTAGGGTTCTTGGGCTGCGATCGCGCTGCTGCACGAAGCTTCCGCGTCCACCGGAGAGGAAGGATGTCAGCGCCGGTGTTGCACGGTGGTGCTGTGACCTGCGTTTGGCGCAGCGGCGGGTAGCTGGGCTCCTCGGCGTGGCCACGGGCGGCAGGTTCGTCGGGCTCGTGTGGAACGCGATCGTTGCGACGGCGGCGGGATTAGCACAGCAGTTTTCCACGGGTGAATCCTCGACCACGTTTGCGTCTCGGCCTTCCCCCTCGGTCCTGAGCACTGCCGGGTGCCCTTCCCGTCGTTCCCTCTTGGTCTCCCAGATCCGGCAGGAGGCGGGCCGAAGCAGCGGCGAGGTCGGACCGTTGGAGCCCGTGCGTCTCGACCTTCCCCCTCGGTCCTGATCGCCGCCGGGTGCCCTTCCCGTCGTTCCCTCTTGGTCTCCCAGATCCGGCAGGAGGCGCGGCAGGAGGCGGGCCGAAGCAGCGGCGAGGTCGGACCGTTGGAGCCCGTGCGTCTCGGCCTTCCCCCTCGGTCCTGATCGCCGCCGGGTGCCCTTCCCATCGTTCCCTCTTGGTCCCCCAGATCTGGCAGGAGGCGCGGCAGGAGGCTATCCGAAGCAGCGGCGAGGTCGGACCGTCGGAGCTCGGGCGGTTACTTTGTTTTCTTTTTTTTCAGTGATTGTTTTCCTTTTTATACGGACGGGAGCGTTGAAGCCTCCGTGATAAGTCTGGAGTTTTCAATTATAGTAGAGATGAAGTGCTCTCAAAGGTAACGCGGAAGAAGCTTGGGCCCTTTGAAGGGCTCTGGTTCCGACCTATTCACCCGCTGAAGCCTGAGACGGTCTCTAACGCCCAAAACAATATTTGATTTTGACCTAAAAGCAGCCAGAGCCAAAAACGAACTTGAACTCTGGAGTGATAAGAAGAAAAACCCCGGAAACAAATACCAGCATCTCAAGAATGATCTTCACACCTTCGCAGACAGCGTCACACATAAGGGGGGGGGGGGTTGAGCTAATAAGAGCATCGAGCACGAAAAAACACCAAGCATCCAATGCACCAACTCAAGCACAGACGGGACAGCAGACGCTGTTAACTGCAAGTCTGCAAACCAACTATAGGATAGTCACCCAATTTGTCGATAAAACAAGAAAATCAACAGTCTACACATGCTGACGAGGCTGGCATGAGTATCCGGCTCTTCTAGTTAAACGGGCACTCCAGCATGCCATAGCCCTAAGGTTCCATCATGTACAGATTTTCCTTACAGCATATAACATCAAAAGGAACAGCACATTGGAAGCTAAGTAAAGAAGCAGCAAACACCCAATTGCAAAGTTGCTGTTCCCCATCCTACTATTTACTCATCTTCATCCTGCAAAGAGCAAATTACGCAGATGTTAGCAACAATTGGCAAATTCCATTTGCACCGCACCACCTATTATGATGCATGGGTTTTACGTACCTCATTACCATCCTGCTCATCATCATCCTCAACCTCGGACTTCACTGCTTCCTCTCCCTCCCGACCATCAGTTTTGGCCTTCTTGGAGCTAGTGCTCTCCTGATTAAAACAACACAGCACATCATCACTAAAACAGAAATATAAAGCTCAGGAAATACAAGACCAATTTCATGGGACAGCAGTAAATATGGGTAATTGGTAGTGCTGATAACATGGGGTTTCTAAGTTACTCAGCTATAACAAAAGCAGCGCTTCAATTCAAACATCAGCAGCAATTTCTATCCGTCTTTTCCTAATGCTCCCACTTTTTAACTACATGTGTAGTAGGCAACTTCCAACGTAATTGAAAGATGACTTTCAACTAGGCTAGAGAAGTTCCAAACTAAATGGGAAATTTGTCATTTAAACCCAAGATTCCATAGAAGAAACATTTCAGGTTGTAACATTGCGCTTACAAATAGACAATTTTTTACCATGGCGGTGTCTTGCAGGTGTGAACATGAGAAGCTAGGGTTAAGCAGTCAGCACCAGGTTCCCATGATATTAGAGCCGGATCAAGGGGTGAAGCACTGAAGCATGCAGAATAGCTATAAATCTCCAAACAAAGGATTCACAAGTTTGAGAGGAGAGCCCAAATGGAAAGAAATGGAGAAGTGACTCCTACGATCGTAACTATCAATGGAATGAATGGAAAGTAGTATAAAGCACGTGGATTCCATTGTTCCACCCAACTACTTGGATTCTATCACGGGAGGATACAATGGTGCAGGGTGGTACCTACTCAACAAGAAAAATAACTGATGCACATTAGTTAGGTCCCATGCTATCAGAGCCGACCCACTGATGCACATTAGTTAGGTCCCATGCTATTGGAGCCAACCCAGGTGCAGCAGCACAAAAATGAAGCGTGCAGTAATGGCTATAGAACTGAGACAGTAATTTGGAATACTAGGATGTGAGAACCGAAATGGAAGGAAAAAGTGACTACCCTAATTGTACCGTATAACCACACAATGGACAGGTGGAAATGTGATTAAAGCACGTGCAGGAGTCGCTTTATCCAACTACACGAATTCCACTTTGGAGGGGGGGGTAATGGTAAATTAATTTCACCCGTGCCGCTGGCAGGAAAACGACAGATGCACATTAATTTCCCATGCTATTGGAGCCCATCCAGGTGCAATGGCATTGGAAGGGGAAAGTAACTCCACAAATCATGTCGTATTACAACGGACAGGGTGACAAGCAACAGATAGTACGTGTGAGGTCTTGGCTCCAACTACTAAGATTCCATCATGGGAGGATGAGGCCGTGCACGAGTGTAACCACTAACAAGATAAACGACAAATGGACCTTAATTAATTCACATGGTATTGGAGCCAAATCAAGGTGCAGTAGCAATGAAAGGTGAAAGGAGCATGCAACCATGCCTATAAACTTCCTGTAGCAAGGTGATAGCCTAAATGCCTATAAACACATCACGCTGGACATGGTAGCAGCAGCAGACAGCACGTGCACAAGCCCTTGCTTCATCTAACTACCAGATTCCATCATGGAAGGATCTGATGGTACAGGAGGCAACCACTTGCGAGATACAACAGATGACCGTTAAATAGCCAAAAAATTGTAACATTACCTTCTTGCTTGCTTTGTCATCCTGCTTCTTGCTAGCGCCATACTTTGCCTTCTCCTAAACAAGGCAAACATTAAACAGTTTGAGACAAAATATTTGTCTACCCTTTTACGGGACAGATACTAACTATATAAGTATTGCACGCATCCGTATACCTCATCCGACATAGAGCGCCACTTCTCCCCAGCCGCCTTGCTCACCTATAAGCAAAGCCACCGACGAGCAAAGGCATATATGAGCCACCTAAGCGAAACCCTAGAATCCAGCTACATGAATAGGGTGAGGAGAGGCAACTTACCACCTTTACGCCCTTGAGCTCAGGGTGCTTCTCCAGGTACTGCGGCCTGAACTCAGCCCTACCAACACCACCACAGAAAATTCAACAAAACCCTAGAAAATTGAAAGACGATAGGCGTAGATCTGGAGACGCGAAAGGATGGGAAGAGGAGGGACGGTAGGGCTTACAGAAACACGAAGAAGGGGGTGAGCCCGCGCTTGGCGCCGCCGGCCTTCTTGCGCTTGGCGCCGGTGGCCTTGAACCTTCATCGGAGAAAACAAAAAAAAACACACGCACAGAAATCAGTCGCTACCCCCTGCAAGCCACATACGAATCGCACACAATACGAGAGAGGGGTGGAGAGAGGCAACTTACGAGGTGTCCTTCATGGCGACGAGCGGTTAGGGTTTGCTGAGGGGTGGGATTGTGGAGCGGATGAGAAGGCTCTGGTCTGGTTCCCTTGGGAAATGCGGTGCGTGCGACTGTGCGAGGGAGGGCGATGAAGAGAGGAGAGAGGTGGTGTGACAGTGTGAGGGCAGCGAGGCTGTGCGAAACGGATGGGAACTTGGGCTCGTGTTCGGCAAAGTGGGTGACGAAAGGGCCGTCATGCGGCCCACTTTTGCGAATACTCTCCCGACGTATATTACAATAATTATATTTACATCAATGTTTTGTCTTTTTTCATGACCTTTTCTTTTGTCAAAAAACTGTTTTGTGTAACAACAACACCCATGGGAAATGCACACACGCTGAGGCAGCGATTGTGATGATCCTAGATTGAAGAATGTATTTATGCCTGACTCTTTATTAAACACTAGCAAGCTGCCCATGCGTACAACGGATTTGGACAACAAAAATGTTTTAAGTTTTTCTACACTCAATCTATTTAGACGGTTTTTTATATACTATTTAAAAGTTTTTTCATATACAATCAATCTCTTCTACCATCAGTTTTAAAGAGGCACAAGCATCAGCTGTTGTAAAACTCTTTTAGGTCTTATTTTGATATAGTCGGATGGCCATCATTCCACATGTGTTAGGGTGGATTGGAGTGAAATTTGAACTAAATTCCACCCTAATTCACCCCAACACATGTGGATTAAGGTGAATCCGACAACATCCAAACAAAGTCTTACATGTACGAATCATTCATTACACAGAATCCTCAAAAGGAAAACAAAAACATTAGGCAAAGACCAATCACCATCGCCAACTGTTCTTATATAAAAAAAAAATAGAGAAGATAACCACTCGAAGTCACTATAGCTCAATGAAAAGTAGAAAAGGGTGCAGTATGCACACAATATCATCATTCCTAACGATCAACAAAACTAGAAGATCATAAGGCATGCTTAGTTCCTACCGTTGTCACTAGCCAGTTTCCAAGGGCTACCTCAGTTGAAACACTCTCGATGTACTCCGATACAGGCATACAGCGTATAAAGAATCATAGGGTGACATTGTAATTTCAGCAATTTTGTGCCAGCAAAGAATTGATGTCCTTCAAAACTATACAGCGGCAAGGGGGGAATAGCACAGGCAATCAATTCTTATTGTTGTATTTGGATAAACATTACTGTACATCTGCACAAAAGGGTCATCAATAGTAGCCATATATTATACGATTCTCAAAAAATAGTAGACGCTGCTCTTGTATATGCCTTGATATAGACTTTAAAGATAAATGACAGCAAAATAATAAGCAATCGATCAGTCTTTGCGAGTGTTCTGAAGTTTCTCTCAAGTCCTATTGAGGGCCTTCTCCATCTGGAACATTATGAGATTCTCCTTCCACAAGCTGTTCTCTAAGTACCTTTCATAGAATGTTACCTCACCTTCCAACTTCGCTGCTAGCGCCACCATGCTTCGTGTTCCATATCGTGCCTGAAATCAAGAAGAAAGATGGATATAGTTTATTCCAAAAAGAATAATGATAGCTACCGAAATATTGAATGCCATGGTTTTTGCCTGCTCCTTTGCAGTGTCAATGAATATTGAGCTTAGCTTGTACTCCCACTCAGGGTCGACACCGGTGTCAGGCATCATAGATCTATCAGGCCTGGCGGTATCCATCATCAACTCTTCTACCATCTGTTTTAAAGAGTCTTCTGCATCATCATGTGTTGCCAGATATCTTTTGAAACTCTGTCCTAAGCGCATTGCCTGCAGGGTGAGAAATGAATGCCACAAGTAAAACATGTCCAACAATTGTTCGACTTTAAATTATTGGAAGAAACTTAGTCCGAAAATTACTTGGAAGAGCAAAAAAAAAAAATGGTATCTGTACATTTTAATACTTAATAGTAGGGAGAGCACATATGAAATGAACAAGACCAGGTTATCACTTAATATTGTCCAGAGTGTTACATATTACTCACAAAGTCCAGAACTACTAAACCAACACAATAAATAAACCTATGCAACTAAATTGACCAAATTATCTGCTGGAAAATCATATGGCGCCCTCGTTAGCTATAGGACTAAAACACCATGTTACAATGTTTCAAAAATCATCACAAAAATCATGTGCGTGGTACGCCTAAAGTTAAGTGTATCCGCAACAATTCAGATTGAAATCCATCTTTGATGCTGAGATTAAAAAAACAGAAGTGCCACTGTCAGCACATGATGAACAGTGCAAGGATGATTGCCTGTCTATTTTGTTGCTTGGCATCTAGGATAAATTTCAAACTGAATTGTTGCGGCCATACTTAACTTTATGTGTACTATATACTGGATTTTTGTGATGGTTTTTGAAACATTGCAACATGGTATTTTAGCTAATGAGGGTGCCAGCCCCCCTGGGCATCAAATCTGCACTCTTATCTGTTCAGTTTCAGACTTCAGAGAAAACGAAGATAATACACATAGACCCGTGGCTGCAATAGATATTTCTAGTATTTATAAACAGAGCAGACGATCATGGACTTGTAACATCAATGAATAGCATAAGAGCATTTACTATGAAATAACCTAATAGTCAGCAACAGAAATCATATAAGGAAACAATAGAATGGCATAAAGAAGGCAGAGCTAGCACGTCACAGCAAATTGCAAGATACATGAGCATTCTTGTGTTTCATTGAAACCTACAAAATTAATGGGAATTTTGCCATAATAGACTGATGGAGCATCGAATAGACCTGGGCTGTCAGCCATACCCAGACAAGTATTGTGGCATTAGCTTTCTTTAAAAACCTGAATCTCAACTCTGAAGTGTATTACAACTTCCGAAAATAATCACATTCCTAGCATTTAGAATATCTTTATAAAATCCCTGTATGTCTTACCTTTGGCCAAGGGGAATCAATTGCAGCATTCGAAAGCACATGAAGCCCAGGAGCAACTGTTTGAATCACAGGAACACCTCCAGGTCTATTAGAGATGTAAACCATGGTCCCTGAGTTCACATCAGCCAATATAAGGTTAAATCCATTGTACTGATTTGCTTCCTTTGCAATTTCTGTGGCATACTCCAATGGACCATGGCTGCCCTACATTCAAATAAAGTAAAGGTTTTCTTAACACAGACAAGGAAGCCACGGGGGGAAACATAAGCTGAAATAGAAGGCAGCAAAATGGACTACTCAGTATGTAATTCTAGAAAACGTTTTACAAAGGCACAGACTAGTTTCTTCGATTACTAAAGACGGATGCTGGAACTTCACTGCGAACCGATCTAACATTATACACAGCCATGCCTCTGCATTTTTCTTTTGCAAATGATATTGTCTGCACATACAGATTGGCACCAGGTTGCCTACTGGCTACGGGCACAGAACATTTTAAGCAGCGTTCGTTTCCTCGCAGCATATGCATAGCATGATCACACAGTAATTTAGCCTTATCCCTCTATAACCATGCCATCATATAAAATAATTCATCGCAAAGCCGACAAGGTCGAACCTGTAGAAACCTGACCGGGAGCTGTCCTCTGGTCGGGGCCCCGATCAGCGAGCTGGGTTCCCGCACGTTGGTAAGGAAGGCGACCTTACCGTCCCTCGTGCACCCCATCCACGTCCCCCCGCCGAGCTCGTCCCTGCCTCCGAGGATTTCCTTGCTGTCCTCCCCTGCCGCCCACCACTGCGCCGGCTGCGTCTGCCTGGGCCAATTTGCGGGTGCCTCGGCTTAGTAGAGAGATAGATGCATCGGACATAATAAGCGGAGGTGAAGGCGCGGAGCTGGATGGGAGGGGCCGGGCGCGCACCTGGAGTGATACTCGTCGCGATTGAAGAGCAGAAGCAGGCGGTGCGTCGGGTGGCACTGCCACGCCCATGCCGCGATGCACATAGCTGACCAGCGGTCAGGGCGGTGGAAGAGTCCGAAGAGGATCGAAATATCGTCGGAGCTCTTATGCGCAAGGTGGCGGTGGCGCCCGCCGGTAGTTGAGTAGGCTGAGGGCAGGAACGGCGACGCCGCGACGGCCAGCTACTGTATTTGCAGAAAGGTCCCTGAAAAAAGTTCGTAATTTCGGATGTATCTGTAGTTGTGGTGAATCGGCTGAGAACAGTGGGGACTGTGTATCCTAGCCGGAAGAAGGAGAAGCGAAGTTGCGTAGGCTATGCGCCAGTGGTGCTGTCGACGTGGTACCGGATACGTAATTGGGTGTGTGCATCCACGGAGTACCTCTCTGCCTCTAGGTCGAAGGGGCGCGCGCAAGCTGTTCGATAGAATGACGCAGAGGGCGGCCGTGCTCCGAAATTCTCAGCTTCTGGGCGCTCGAATTTGAATGTACTACAGCTAGTATTGTTTTTTATACTATTGAGTTAAAAGCTGGTGCTACAAAAGTAACTGCTCGAGACTGGGTTCCAATTGGGATGGGAGTTAGGCAATGATGGTTAAGTGGAAGCTGAATGAATACTGGTGTCACACGATGTAGAACACTGAATAAATTCAAGGAAGCATTCAATTTGATGATTATACTGAACTGCTGGGTCAGATTCCTCGCTCCTCTAATGCAAATGGAGCCAATTCCAACATGCAAGCAGTTCCTAAGCGATACAAGTCACAGAAAGCTATAACTGAATCCTGAATAGATATCTGAATTTCCCCTCAAAGTTGTTTCCCTGATTTGCCTTTCCTCTCAGTCCATCAAAAGAACTCACTGGACAGAAATGACTGGTAGTTTGTTTTCTCCTCATTCAAGGTTGTGGAAAATCTGAGCTGAAGATGAGGAGATGAGCAAAGCTGCCTCTCTCTCTTCAACCTTCTTTCCTGTTTTGCTTTGTAAGGATTATTAAGTTGATTTCTTTGAATGTGACCAAGTTGTCTGTTTCCAGGCTCCTCGGCGAAGTGATTTAAAAAACATGGTACTATGTTGATGGGCACAACACATACAATCAAACTCCTACGGTTGTCGAGGAAAACAAGCTACCTTTGGTAAGTTATCCTCATGAAAATATCTTTATAAGCATACGCTAGATGGAACCAGCTCCTCTAACTTAGGAAGGACTACGTCCTGGGACGTACTTGTGCCCGATGCCCTTCGTTTCTGATCGAGCGGCAGGAAGCAAACAACCAATCCAGCGGCAGGAAACAAGCAGGAAGGCACAGATGCATTGGCCCATGTAAACGATGTGGCCCAGGTAGCATCGAGAAGCACTCCTATTTGAGAAAAAAGAAAGAAAATAAAATGGAGGCACTCCAGATCTCGGAAAAGATCGCCGCCCACGCCCTCGGAAAAGATCGCCGCCGGCCGATTGTTTTCGCTCGCCACCTCCTTCGGCTAGGTGAGCAGGCCCCTGAGACAGCGACCTCTACTGACGTAGCTGGCTCCCACGTCATCCTTCCTATTCCTCGACCCCGTGAAAGAGACGTGCTTCAAGATAGCCGTCGGCCGATTGCTGCTGGTCGCCGCCTCCCTCGGCGTAGCTGTGCTGGCGCAGGTGAGCAGCCCCTAAGAAAGCGAGGGGCAACGGAGGAAGGGTGGCCGCTACTGCCAAGCCTACGGCACCATGGAACGAGGGGCACCACACACAGCTCTGGACGAGGGCAACAGCGGCAGGTTGAGAAGACAAGGTTCAGAGTAGCAGTAGACAGATAGTTGAGAATTAAAAATATAAAATGATGTGAATTGAGATTATAGCTCTGTATTGGTTGTGATGATGGAATGTTTGTCGATTTGAGTGCCTGAACCTTGTCATTTTGAAACTTCAGTGCTTTTTTGGTAATTGTGTCGATTTGAAATCTCTGAATGCAAAAGAGTTTCAGATTTTGTACTCAAATACTATCAATGAGGCTTGCAGAGTGGCAACAGAAAGCTGAACATATATAGTAGCTCACTTCTATGTGGCAAATATATGACCGTCAATTCAACTAGAGCAAATATATACATAACTAGAGTTTTTTTTAGAGTAGCACATTACTAATATGTGGCAAAAGGAAGTTGTATATGCATCTTCATGCCCCCAAATGACTAATATATGGCAGGTCACTTATATGCTCCAAACTTCAGTGTTGTGATTTTTTTATCTGAAACTTTGAAGGGCAGAATATGTACCAGTTCTACTACAATGCTCATTTGCAACATAGCAAAAGAAAGCTAAGTTATATGTACAGAACTAGAGTTTTTGCATTCATGATAATTACCAAATAGCAAAAAGAGCCAAGTTTGCCCACCTGGGAGCATATCATCTAGCACCAGATTTGTGGCAAAAGAAACCTAAACATTTATGTCCACCTGGGAGCGTCCCCAATGTTACATACAGTTCTCATACTTGAAAATACTAACAGCTCTTCATAACAACATCACCAGAACCTAGACAGAAGGTCATTAGTCATTGGTTCCTGTAAGTTAAATGAAGAAGTAAGTTCTTTTAAAAAGGAAATATTATCTCAAGATTTGTAAAGTAGCTATATTATAAGCATATTACCGTCAACATTTGAGTGAAGCTAACTTGTGCCTGTGCTTGTGTACCACCTGAATTGGAAGCTTCAGAAAAAAATTGACAGAATGCACCTTGTGCTTGTGCTTGTGTTCCACCACTAACTGCCTCTTGTTCGTGTACAACATCATTATTACCTGCTTCGCCAAACTGAGATGTAGCTTTGTTTTCTCTCCTTTTTCTAGCCTTGTGCTTCTTATCGAGCCAGGTTCTTTTTCGTTTTGAACTTTTTGTTTGGACATCCCTTTTTTTTAGGCTAGCATTAATCAACGATGTCAAGTGTGCTGTACTTGAATCCTGAATAGTGCTTATACTTGTATTGACCTGATAAGTGCTTGTACTTGTATTGACCTTTTCTGTGATTTGCTTACCAAGCATGTCAAGTGTGCTGTCCACTAACATTGTGCACTCAGGAGAGTTAGCTGCTTGGTGTGCCAAATTGAGGAATTTGTGGGACATATATTTCAACCGAAGCATAGCATCCATATTAGGATTTTCAATTATGTTTCTCCCTTGGTTGTCTTGTACAGTTATAGTCCGTGCTTCCCGTGTCCAACGCTTTAACACGTATTGTGGTGGTAGTGACTTGATATTCATCAAATCAAGAACCTTAAGAGCATGGCTACACAATATCCCAATTCTATCAAACTGCCTGCAGCTGCATGCAACTGTTTCCTTCAAAGGATCACCAATAACTTTATATTCCTGCTCATATGTAAAATCCCCTACTAGATATTCATTAGTACCATCCAGTGCTTTGGTGCAAGCGGCCAAGGATCTTTCATATTCACCTTGAAAAGCTTCAAATATAATAGGCGTGTACAGCTTGCTAGCCTGCACCAACATAGGTGGCGGTCTCATCATACATATTTTAGGCATTTTTTTTCTTGAATCAAATTCTGAATTTAGTTCATTATTTCTTTTCCCTTGCACCACCCTTTCAAAATATTTAAAGAACCGGATGATATCAAAATCTGATTTGAAATGGATTTTCAAGTCATTGTTTAGACTCTCACTAAGTTGTGTACTTCTCATTCCTAATGTGAAGACATCCTTCATATAACATTCAGCCTATTTTCTTTCAACTTGTAAATACTGTTTAACCAAGTTTGCTTACTCACCTTTTGTCTCATGAGTTTAAATTTTTGTTCAAATTCTGCAATGTCTTGGTACTCAAACATGCATGCACTAAAATCTGACAGAACACTTGTTTCCCCATTCTCCTCATTTTTCTCCTCCTTTTTCTTCTTCTTTTTCTTCTCTTTTTTCTTCTCTGGACTCTTCTCCTTTCTATTCTCTTTGTTCTCCTCTTCATGTAGATGTTTGACTGCATTTTACATGATGTGAAAGGTGCATAATCCATGCCATGTTTCTGTAAACACTTGAGAAACTGCCTTCCCCATTGCAGCATCTTGATCTGTATAGAATGTTTTAGGTTGCTGTCCATTATGAGATTTTAGAAAGGTCTCAAATAGCCATTTGAAAGATTCAAATGTCTCATCATACATGAGAGCAGCCCCAAAAACAACAGTTTCTCTAAAATGATTGAATCCAACAAATACATCAAAAGGCCTACTCTCCTTATTTGTTTCAAAAGTAGTGTCAAAACTAACGACATCACCAAAATGTGCATAGTCCATGATCATTTTAGCATCAGCCCAGAATATATTTGTTATCTGTTCTTCACAATCCATTTGCAATGCATATTGGAATGATGGGTTCTCAACAATTTTGTCATAAAAATACTTGAGCATGCTACCTGCTTGGCCGTATTGTATCTCTTGTTGGCGCTTGGTCCGCAAATAATTCTTGTGATCACGAAGGGTGTAGCTAAGATTGAGTGGACCACCAACTTGACGACTAGCCAACTCATGTGCAGCTTTTGGTCCAATTCCTGCATCATCCGCTGTTTCAATTTCAAAAGCTTGTAACTCTGAAATTTTCCTTTGTGACGCCATTAAGTGTAAGGTTTCTGGCAGGTGTAGTGCATGATTGTGTTCCAAAACCAGCTCAGACACTTTCAGATTTCTATTTTCTCGATCCATTTTTAGATTCATGTGGACTTGGCAGTCAGTTCTAGTTTCAGCTCGAGGGCATCTTGTTAGATGATCTCTTTTGTCCGGCAATCGATGACCCTCCTTTGCATGATGTAATCTTGCCATCGGATGGTCTTTTGTTTGTATACCTTTTCCTGACATCAAAGCCTTGCTGTCCACCGTAGCTAAGCCAAAATGCCCAAGCTTCATTTGAATTTCCAAATTCCATGCCAACGTGTGGTACCAAACCAGGTGGCATGTCTCTAGCACAAAAAAACATAACATGAGTAGGGGACTTGTGCAATTGCAGAGAAAAATCTTTTACTAATTTCAGATCTCATGCCAAACAGAGTAAGCAAAGAGTAGCTGT